AATTTATAATAATAGCAGAGATAGTAAAAAAATCAGCTAGGAAAATGGAAGGCGAACCATTCTTTACTTAATGCTTATAGTCGATACATATAATAAAATTCTACCTGAGTCGAATCTGTATATTAAATATTTTTTGGAAAATCTTATTGTAATTACTATCGATACAGAGGCTGAATCTTAGTTTTTAGAATTTTTGTCTGTTTGTGTCTGTCTGTCCGTCCATCCGTCCATCCATCCGTCCGTTCGTCCGCCCGTCCGTGCGTCCATCCGTCTCTCTGACAGATAATCTGTCCAGACAGATTTTGATTAAATTTAGTATGATGATAGCTGGTTATCCCGGTCAATATATAAAATACTTCTTACTACGAGAAAATATCTCATATCTGATAAATCTATACTAATCGTTAAAACGTACCTAGGAAAGAACCCGAGCAGCGTGAGGGTGAGTCGCTAGTATATGTATAAGTAAGTAACAATACTCGTATTAAAAACCAATTAGAATGAAAATTAGAACAGTAAAGTTAGGTCTCTTTTAATTTACCCGTTCTTTTTCTACTAAGTTTCAATTTAATTTACTTCAACACTTACACTAATTAATTGCTGAGCTCTAGATTAGTTTAAACACTTAACAACTATTTTTGTAATTTGATACAGCTTTTTATTTCTTTTTAAAGTTATTGCTGTTATTTATATTTCTTAAGAAGCTTTTCTTATTTTTATATTACTGACTTACCCTTGCTTGGTTCGTGTGCGTTTCAGGTGCGTATTGTAAGTTATGTGTTACTCCAGGTTACAATTTATCTGTCTACTAAATTTCATCCAAATCTGTCAAGCCGTTTCAGGGTAAAGAAATAACAAACATGCACAAACATACAAATCTTAGCAATTATATTGGTAGTTCTTTATGCAGTGGTTGCCTGGTGGCAACGCTTGGGACTCCAAGCGGAGTCCCTGCGAATCATTTTCAATATGATTACCACCTGTCTTACGGTGAAGAAAAACATCGTGCATGTTTGAGAGAACCTAGCAAGTGTAGAAGTGAAGTCCGCCAACCCGCACTTTGCTAGCGTGGTGTTCTATGGCCTGATCCCACTCATATTACTTCTATTTTTGGCCCATATTATTAGCAAGATAAAAAAAATGCATAAGCATTTTAGGAATCCTAAAAAAAAAAGAAAATATTCTATTTATATATTTAGTACACAACCGATCTTGATACTCGTATAACATAGGCTGTATGGATTATAGAAATTTCGTAGTATAAAGGAGTCGAACTGATGCAATATGTAAGAAATTAATCTAATTTTACTTAAGGCAAGTCAAGGCAAGACGTTTAAATGAACGAATTAATTACAGAGCTAGTGTGGTATCTATTCAGTCAGTAGACTTGAGGGCTACTGTATACTGTAATAAGGTCACACGCAAGCCTCGTTTAGAAATAGGGTGACTATGATTTGTTGGTGTTTTCTCGGTGATCGAAATTTGGACCATATAATCAATGTGAAAATTTGAAGAAAACACATATGAAAAGACTTTCTTAGATTCAAGCGAATATTTGACATCTATACATATTATAATAAAATTCTAACTAAGCCAAATCTGTACATGAAATATTTTTTGGAAAATCTTATTAAAATAGATATTATTTTCGATACAGAGGCCGAATCAATAGTTTTTAGAATTTTTGTCTGTCTGTCTGTTACCGCATCACGGAAAAACCACTGGAGGGATTTTGATGAAAGGTATGGTGATAGCTGGTTATCTAGGTCAACATATAAGACACTTTTGACCGCGGGAAAATTTCTCATTTCTAAGAAAAAATGCAAAAACTGCAATGTAAGAGTATACTAATATGTAAAGTCTAAGAATTTGGTTTTTGGTCATTTTTCGGATTTTCTCGCGGATTTATTAACCATCCACAAAATAAAATCCGCGATTCAGAAACGCGAACCAAAAATCAAAATAAATCCGCGAAAAAATCCGAAAAGGTAGTTAGTTATATTTAAACAAAACGAAAAGAATTTTCCTATCTATATAAAAAAATTAATTGTTCCTATTTTTTAATTGATAAGCTCCATATAGATATATAGAGCTAGTTTAACATCTTCTGGATATGTGATGAAGATCGTCTGTTGTTAACAAAACTGTGAATTTAACATCAGTTTTGTTACAAATTAATATCATGTAATTAATTATTTTAACCTCCATGTATTTACTCCATGTCGTAGACATCAAAATAGATTTATGTAACGTTTAAATAAGTAATTCTCATAGAAATTTTAGTTCTTAAAGCCTAAAGATGATGAGATGATGATGAAGCATAAACAACATTAGTTAATCAAATCAGATATATTATAGTATATAAGTATATAGGTATATGTAAGTATATATGTAGGTATATTTGTTTGTATGTATGTATGTATGTGTATGTAAATATAATTTCTTTTGTATAATTATAATATTTAGTTGATATATGTTAATATTAAGCTTATAACATTTAATGCTGTATTGTATCTACACCGCACTACGAAGAAATCTCGTATAGAAATAAGTTATCCTTTGTTTATATTCTGTTACTTCATTTTGTATAACATATATTTCTTGGTACATAAATAAATAAATAATAAGAACATCGATAATTTGTGTAAAATTTTGATAAAAAATCATAAAGTTTAACTTAATCCATACTAATATTATAAATGTGAAAATAACTCTGTCTGTTATCTATTCACGCTCAAAGAAGCTGAAGAGATTTCGATAAAATTGGGCAAGAACGTATATTAAGATTATAGAAATAGGCATCTTGGGATCGGAACTAGACTATCTTTGATCCGTGTCCCAAAAACTAGTTTTAAATAAAAAAAAAACTTTTTCTTTACTATATTTACGCAAATATTTGACATTTTAAATAAAACTATCTCTTCGAATTATTTCGCGGATTTATTTTGATTTTTTGTTTCTGAATAGTGTGTAGGCACTGTCTGTAACAAGTATATAATGCGTTTGAGACGTCTAAAACATTAGTCTCTCGCGGGACTAGATTGCTGTAAAGCATTTGAAACGTCGGGATTCAAAAATCAAAATAAATCTGCGAAATATTCCAGAAAAGATAGTTATATTTAAAACTAGCATTGCCCGCGGCTCCGCCCGCGTTTAGGTGTCCAAAAACTAAATTCTTAAGTTTTACATATACTCTTACATTGCAGTTTTTGTATTTTTTTCTCAGAAATGAGACATTTTTCCGCGGTAAAAAGATTCTATACGTTGACCCGGATAACCAGCTATCACCATACCAAATTTCATCAAAATCCATCTAGTGGTTTTTCTGTGATGCGGTAACAGACAGACAGACAGACAAAAATTCTAAAAACTATAGATTCGGCCTCTGTATCGATAATAATGTTTATTTTAATAAGATTTTCCAAAAAATATTTAATGTACAGAATCGGCTTATTACAATTTTATTAGTATTATGTATACAAGAAAAAGATTCCGATGAATTTAGAACCTCCTCCTTTTTGGAAGTCGGTTAACAAAACAAACAAATATGAACCTAAACAAAAAAGCTCAAATATTTTTATACAAACGGATGGTGCTACCGTCCGTATTGCATCGATCTGATAAGTATTATCTAGTGTTAAATCTCAGCCGCTATCGCTGATCAAACGGCTACATACGAGTGCTTAACCTGAGTAATTTACATTTCGCTATTTAACTAAGAATTAGGTAACCCATGTTAATAGAAAATGAAATAGGGTAACTAATGTTCCCCCCCAACGTGCGTTCACCTTGTTGTGGTGGGGGGGCACAGTAGTGCCCGGCAATACAGCCGGGCGCGAAGCCAAGAAACGCACAGGGTAGTGGCCCACTTCGGTGGGCGGTGGGAGGTGGCCCACTTCGGTGGGCGGTGGGAGGTGGCCCTCTTCGGTGGGCGGTGTACTATGTGGGTTGCTCCTGGTACTTCTCTGATAGCGGAGTGGACCTTGAAGCAACCCCATGGTTGTGGTGGTCTGCTTTAGCAGACCTGCCGTCGGGGCGTCGTAGTTGAATGCGTAACCGATCCTGCGACGCCCCATTAAGACGGGGGAAGGTTTTGTTGGGTTTTAGTGGGTAGTACTGGCTTTGCCGGTGAGTCCCACATCTCGTGCGTAAATGCATTTCCCACGTTAAAAAAAAGGGGTAACTAATGTTAATAGAAATATGTTGGGACATTAACACAGCATCATCTAGTTCCATGGTTAGCTACGAGGCTTGTGTTATGGATACCAGATAGTTGATACATATACATTCGTATTCATTATACAAATGAATGCCCCCAGCAGGACTCGAACCTGCGACTGCTAGTACAGCGAGTAGTTTCACTATAAACTGCGTCAAACGTTTAGTCGATGTTGTTTTATGGTGGTATGTTCTAAAAAGTTTTGGAAAGCAGATATATTATAATAATTTTATAATTATATAAATAAATAAATATACGAGAATTGCTTTTTAAAGGTATTTGATAGATAAAGTCATAATTAAATCAAAAAAAAATTGTCCAATATTTTACAAGCACTTCTGAATCGTCAATTTTACATTTTTAAGGGGGATTGAGCACAAATGTCAAAGTGCCAGTCAACGAAAAAAAATTTTAAGCAACGTATTAGGATGGTCCTCTCTAAATTAAATATCAGTGTAGTTGGTCCGTGAGGAATCTACCACCGGCTACTTGGCTGTAGTAATTTTAGACGCTTTATATAAGGCGTAAAACAGACTAAAATTATAATTCACTGACTTCAAAAATAAGTAAAGTTTGTATGTTTATTGGTTCGTTGTTTTGTAATATGTTAAAAAAAAACAAATAACTATACCGATTTTTATGAATCTTTTCTAATCGATAGAGAGAAAAGTTGTGTCTATTACATTATTTACCAATAATTAAAATTAAATAAATAATTAAATGGCTAGTTTAAATAGAAATAATAGAGAAAAATGTATCAAGTGTAAATAAAATATATACAATGAGTTTTGTGTGTAGAACCTCTAATCGAGTTACAAGTGACAATAGAGACTGTGGTAGCGGTATTGAACGTACTAAATGCATTACAAAGAGGGTGGGCAATAGGCATATTTGAATATTAAAACAAACCCAAAATATGTACATACATACATTCATACCGTGAGAAATACATGTATGGGACATACAAACACACTAATACTACACATACAAACTAATATTTTGACTGTGTCCAGCGATAGTGTAGTGCATTCTAAAATTAGTATTAATGGAGGTAATTTGTACCCGTATGTGTAAACTTCCTCCATCTACTGACCAGTATTCAAGAACGTACTTTATAATGTGTTATTTTTGTTAAGTTATTGACATTCGACTCTATTTTTGTAATTATATTGAGTATAAATATGTTGGGATATTAACACAGCGCCATCTAGTTCCATGGTCAGCTACGAGGCTTGTGTTATGGATACCAGATGGTTGATACACTACACATATAATGTCCTCCCGACCAAATTTCCACCACGGCGGACAATCTCATCGAAACTAGCCATCTGCGCAGAAGATATTATAGTGCACAAGTGTGCGCGCAGACACAAGTGCACTCTCCTGTCACTCTCATACTCCGGTGGAACGACAACTCGACACGACCAGTACGTGTTAAGGCGCAGGACCGACGGTGAAACACCACCAAACTCCTAACTCCGGGCTGTTACTGAGGCTTACTAAATAGAAAGACTCAACAATTAGACTCGGCCCGACTCGGGACTCTAACCCAGGACCTCGAGATGTGTAGTCGTACATGCTAGCCACTATACCACCGAGGTAGATAAAATAAGAAAGATTAATAGTAGTATTGAACAGAATGACATTACCGTAACAAAAGGTAGATTAGGCGAGTGCTATCAAGAGTTCTTGATTTATGTGTTTCCGAGATAATTGAATTTCGAACTATAGTGACACTATCTAACTATACCTACTAAAGTAATTATTAATTACCCAATAGATTTCGTTATATAATAAAGTATAATGCATTAGAGCACTGTCAAATAATTTTGTATTACGAAATTGAATTTAATTTTAAGGTGGTATAGTAGGTTCGATTAAGTGTGGACATGTTATAAAAGAGATGTGTTATAGCCGCTTGTAGTACTATTGGCTTGCTTGTCTATATTATTATTACAAATGTGAAAGTCTGTGAGGATGGATGGATGTTTGTTACTCTTTTACACTAGAACGGCTGAATGGATCTGGATAAAATTTGATATAGATATAGATTATAGTCTGGAATAGTACATAGGTTATTTTTTATCCCGGATAAATGTACGGTTCCTGTGGGATAGATTTGTTTTTGTCTAGGGACTAACCTGTAGCGAAGCGAGGTTGAGTCGCTAGTACTTTATTTTTTTATATACTTACAGCACTTGAATAATTGGATATAAAAACTTACATTAACTTAAGATTAAAGTTTAGCTGTTATATTTTTATACTTATCAGAATTTCATTAATTTTAAGATTCTGGCTTCAAAATTAATTAATTTCAATAAAAATGTTTAACACCTGTTTTACTCCTTTAGAGGATCATTTTCTTAAGATGTTTTCTTAGCGCTCACTCAAAAAGGAATTTCTGTGAAATATCATAAATCATAATTCTACATCTAGCTGTTAAAGCTTTGTGAACTTAGTAAATCAGACAGTGTCGGAATATATAAGCTGCACTCAGGCCTTTTTAACGTCCCACTGCTGGGTACGGGCCTCCCTTCAACACGAGGGGGATCAGGCTAGTTCACCACGCTGGCCTAGTGCAGGTTGGTGAACTTCATATGTCTTTTGAAAACTTGCTAGGTTCTCTCAAACATGCAGGTTTCCTCACGATGTTTTCATTCCCCGTAAGACAAGTGATAATCATGTTGGAAATGATTCGCACTTGAAAATATCAGAAGTGCGAGACCCGGTTGTGAACCCGCTTCACTCGGTTTCCCAAGCTGGGACTGGGCTACCGCTGCCTCATATACTACCTATTAAATAATTTTTCACAGAACGTTATAGGAAGAGAAGCTTATACTCTCTGAAGAAACGATATTCTCTCTCTAAGAATTCCGTGTTTGGGAATTCTACCTAAGTATATCTAAATCACAAATACAAAAACTGTGGCGTACCAAAACACATTGATATTTCGTGTTCACTTATGAGTTTTGTAAGCATACTGTGTAATTATCTAAAGCAAATACAATCTAAACGAAGTGCAGTTTATTCGGGGTTCAAACACCGCTTCAATCCAATCAGAAACAGTAACGATACGGGTTAGTTAGTTTAAAAGACTGGACGCAGCGTATGTGGACCTTAAATAAATAGAATGTATTGGACGATGTAATTACGTTAAGATTTTTTTATAAATAACGTAAACCATGGTCTGGTCTCTCTCGTTTTGATGGGAGGTCTTTGCCCAGCAGTGGGACGTTGAGTACAGAAATAACTTTATAGTAATAAAATTGTAACTAAGCCGAATGTGTACATTAAATATTTTTTGGAAAATCTTATTGAAATAAACATTATCACTGATACGGAGGCCGAATCTATAGTTTTTAAAAATTTTGTCTGTCTGTCTGTCTATTACCGCATCACAGAAACACCACTAGAGGGATTTTGAAGAAAGGGTATAGCGAGGTAAGGAGCACGAAATGGCCCCCACGGCCCATGACGGAATTATCATTTGTACTGGTATTGGCACTCTAAAACAATACGAAATGTAAGGTCGTTGACCCCTGACCTTGACCTGTCTTTGAGATATTCGAGAAAGTTCGTATGCGCGCCGATTTTTTTCATAATTTTTTTTCCGAAAAACTATAAAAGCTAGAAGGATGGGACCAATTGCGTATAATGAGGGATACTTTGAAAAATATTCTGTATTTTTTTCAGAGTTCTCGTGAAATGACAACTGTGTAAAATAATTAAACAAAATATAAATATTTTTTTTTAGTACTGTTCTATTATGTCTACCGCGCCAAAAAAAATATATAATACTCTTTGATTTATATACTTATACCATACAAAAGCTGATCAAAATCAAAGAGGCGCTTCTTGAGTAATATCTAAAGAAAACTTGTTCGATCGTGTACAGTGGGCGCCCGCCCAGCCGCTTCGCGCGGACTAGAAAACAAACGTGTTTATTCATGTTCAATAGATTATTATAAGTGTATTCGTGTCATTACAAATACGATTTCACGCATGGTTGCTTTAGTCTTCCGTGTTAAGGAAACCACACACAAATATAAATTACCTAATAGGTCATTCGGTGAGAATAATTGCGTATGCCTGTCGCAAGTTGTATGGTGATAACCACGGGTGATAACAATGTTTGTGAACTGTATTATTTGTGACACTTTCGTGCATAAAGTTTGCGGAAGAAAAAAAGTTATCACTAGTGAAGAGGACGCTAGACTATATAGTGACTCGAGTAAAAAAACAGTTTCTGTTGGTGACGTATTGTGTGGAAAGTGTCGGCTAATTATTTACAATAGCAAATCAAACGTTGCATCAACTTCTGCGGCATCTACCCTGGTAGAGTGTGAAGGCGAACAGGAGTCTGGTGAACACTTAGCAGTTGGGGAAACATCTTCTAATGCTTCATTCCAACAAGAATGTGAAATGAATTTACCATGCAGTTCCGAAAGCGACCACGATGATGATGATGATGATGGCGATGATGTTTTTTCGCATGTTGCCCAAAACGACGACTTTATATATGTACATATACCACCATGTGTTGTATCCACCCACAAGTATTGTTGTATATGTCGATCCACAACAAACTTAATGCGAGTACCTTTTGAAGCGCGTTACGAGGCTTATACAAACATTGGGATTTTTATACCAGAGGATAACCGTTGTTGCTGCACACATATAATAGGAAAAAACTTTTATAAAGACGAGTTGGTGCACCTACGTGTAGTATCTAACACCAGTAAAATGAACTCTAAAGAAGTTGCTCATTTTTTAAAATCACTTTCAGAAAGAGCAGGGATGTCGCTTTTCGACAAAATTGAAAATGATATGTCTGAAAATCAGATAAGGATATTGACAGGGCTTTGTCGGCAAAACATTATTGAATTAAGACAGCTATTGACTTCTATGCGAAACACAAGCATACGCACTGTGACTCAAGCGTTAGTTGTATTCTTGTTTAAATTAAAAACTGGAAATTCTAATTCAGTGATAGCAGGAGTGCTGGGTTTACCATACGAACAACATGTGTCGACATTTTTTAAGGAAGTATTAAGAAGTTTTAAGACTGATATTTTGCTTCATTTTGGATTAACCTCCGTTTCTCGAGAAGATTTAATAAAGAACACAAGTTTAACAGCTCGAATGTTATTGAACCTTAGAGATGATCAGCTGGTATTGATATTTGACGGCACTTATATCAGGCATCAAAAAAGTTTTAACAATGAATACCAGAGAAAATCGTATTCTGGGCAAAAGAAAACCCATTTATGCAAACCGTTCACAATCTGTACTACGAACGGGTTTATAGTTGATTTTGCTGGGCCATTTTATGGAACGGAAAATGATGCCACTATTATGAAGAAAGTGTTACAGGATGCTAAACTTAAAACTCTATTACGTCGGAATGATGTATTTGTCGTAGATCGTGGATTTCGTGACGCCGTTGGCGACATCACCAAAGAAGGCTACACCGTGTTAATGCCGGCGATTAAAGGTAATCGAGCCCAGTTACCTACCGATGACGCCAATATGTCACGACAAGTGACTAAAATCCGATGGGTAGTCGAAGCTGTGCACGGAGCTATTGCTCAGAAATATAATTTGCTTCATAACAATCTTGATAATAAAATGCTTCCAAAAGTAAGTCTATTATGCAAAGTTGTTGGATTTTTACGCAACAAATTCAGTAAGCGATTGGATTCTGATACAGGCTTAAATGAGACAATTGTTCAATACTTTAAAGAGCGACTGGCGTTACCAAATTCTTTAAGTGAAGAGGTAGAAAAGCAGCACTGGAATCGAAGAAAAACGGCTTTTCAACAACTGGTGTCATCAGAAATTTTAGATTTTCCAAGACTAAACGAAGAACAATTAAGAATATTATTTACAGGTTCCTATCAGCTCTCATTAGCTGTTTCATACCTCGCTGAAATAATGGACGACAAGAGCAATCTCTATATATATTACGTCAAACAAACCCCAACTATCATCAAGTTAAATGTTCGTTCCAGACATGTAAATAGTAAATATTACCGATTGTTCATTGATTATGTTCCTAATATGAACAGTGTCGAAGGAATCCGAGGATATTGTTGTGATTGTCCGAATGGAAACAGGACAGTTGGATGCTGCGCTCATGTCGCAAGTGTAATATATTATTTAGCTCATGCAAGATATCTATCTCGCATTTTACGTCCTGCTGAAATTCTGTCGAAAATATTTTCAAATGATGCAGTCAATGTTGTGATAAATGAAAATAGTGATGATGATGATTAAAATTATGTTCAAAATGTAATTATAATAATTAATCCAAAAATGACCTCTTTAATTAGTTCCTACCAGCCGTACGCACACTAAGTAATTCTCATAATTACTCAAGAAGCGCCTCTTTGATTTTGATCAGCTTTTGTATGGTATAAGTATATAAATCAAATAGTATTATATATTTTTTTTGGCGCGGTAGACATAATAGA